CCGCCGCCGCGACGTCCCGCGCGGCGCCGCAGCGCCGCAGCGCCTCCGCCGCCGCCGCCGCGAGCGCCTCGGTCGCCGCGAGCATGCGCTTCTCGCCCTCGGCGCGCGCGCCGGCGCCGGCCGCAACAGCGGGGCCGAACAGCTCCCGGGCGTTGCGCAGCACGGCCCACAGCGCCGGCGCCGCCGCCTCCGCGCCGGCAGCCTCGGCGCCCGCCTCGCCCCCGGCCTCTGAGTTCCAGGGGACCTGCTGCCTCCGCTGCTGCTGCTGCTGCTGCTGCTGCCGCGCGCCGCCGCCACCGCGCGGACCGGCGCCCTGCGGCGCCGGGCGGCCCGTGGCCGGGTGCACCATGAAGCGCAGCGCCTTCGCGAGCATGAGCCGCCCCTTGGGCAGCGCCATGACTCGCCCAAACACCCAGTCTCCCCCGCCGTCCCCGGGCGCGCGCGCGAGCTGCAGCGACGCAACGACGCCGCAAAGCAGCGCGGCGCGCTCGCGGCGCAGCGCGGCGCCCGCGGCGGACGACGCGTCGAGCACCAGGCCGGCCGCCTCGTCGGCCGCCGCCGCGCGGTCCAGGTCCTCCACACGCATCAGATTCGCGTTGCAGTCCTCGATTAGAATCCGCGCCGCGAGCATCGGCTCGTCCTCAAGCCGCGCGGCCGCCGCGGCCGCGGCCGGCTGCTCGCCGCCGTCCCCTTTCCCGTCCCCGCCCGCGGCGCCGTTCTCCTTGCCTGCCGCGCGGCCAGAGACGTCCATCAGCCGCTTTGGGGTCCTGATGTTTGACAGCACGAAGCGGCCCAGGCCCTCGACGGCCGCGTGGCGCGACTCGCGGAGCGCGAGGCCGGAGGCGGCGTCGCGGCGGAGCGCGTCGGGCGCAAACGTCGCGGCGTTGCGGCCGCCCAGATACTTGTGGCGGTACGCCTACCGGGGGTTGCGGTGGCGGTGGTTGGTGGTGGCGGAGGGGGAGTTGGGGGTTGAGGGCCTCGTGCGAGGTTGAGATGTCGAGGGTGCAGGTACATATGAAGGCGCGTGAGCGACGTGCGCCATCGAATACACGCGGCACCGCCGCAGTTTTGTGCGCAGCAGCACCTGCACGCAGCTGAGCTGACGAGGCGCACGAAAACGCATGGACGCGCGCGCGCTGACCACAGACTGCACACGAGGCGTCCCCGCCCCTTCACACGCGCGTGCGTCCCCAAGGGGGCCAGCGCGCCCACCTGCGCGTAGTAATCCTCCACATAGGGGTCCCCCGTGTGCGTCGCGGCAAACTGGATGCGCAACACGTGCTCAATCTCCCCGTTGCTCATCAGTTGCCCCTCGTACTGCGGCCGCCGCGTGCTGCCGTAGGAGCCAAACCC